TGGGTAGGGACTCAGCTGGACGAGGGGCAGACGACCCAGGCAAGGGGGCTGCCAACTTACCACCTGCTCGGGAGGGAAGAGTACCCCCGGCCAGCTCCGCCAGAGGGCTGGAGGCTCTGGACTCAGGGTGCTCGGTTTACAGGGTGGGCGCAGGGCTGTCCCTCCGGAGAGAGTGCCTTGTTCCCCTGGAGGTGGATGGGAGGAAGGTCAATGGATACTGGGATACGGGCGCGGAGGTGACGCTGGCCCGGCCGGAGGTGGTGGCCCCAGATCGGGTGGTGCCCAACACCTACCTGACCCTGACAGGGGTGGGCGGGACCCCATTTAAGGTGCCCGTGGCAAGGGTACACCTGAAATGGGGGGCCAAGGAGGGCCCCAAGGATGTGGGGGTGCACCACCATTTGCCCACTGAGGTTTTGATGGGGGGAGACCTAGAGGACTGGCCAAGCAAGCCCCAGACCGCCCTGGTTGTGACGCGTAGCCAGAGCCGGCGAGGGGCACTGCACCCTGACCTTGGGGAGGGTACCACACCAGAGGCGCAGGACCCTACCCTGGTGGGAAGGGAGGGCCGAGGGGCACGGCTCAGAGAGGCTGAGGCCTCAGACCCGGCCAGTGAGAGGGAACCGGTCCCCATCCCTTCCCCAGCCGCTGAGTTCCAGGCCGAGTTGAGGAAAGATCCCTCCTTGCGGAAGCTCAGGGACCTGGCCGACCTCGGTGTGGGACGGACCATGAGGAGAGGTTGCCAGGAGAGGTGCCTGTGGGAGAAGGGGTTCCTGTACCGAGAATGGGCTCCCACAAGGGAAGTAGAGTCCTGTGGGATCAGGAGGCAGCTGGTGGTCCCCCAGAAGTATCGCCGCAAGCTCCTGTACCTGGCCCATGACATCCCCCTCGCAGGGCACCAGGGAATCCAGCGCACCCGGCAGAGGTTGCTACAGAACTTTTACTGGCCCAGGGTCTTTACCACGGTCCGGCAGTATTGCCGATCCTGTGACCCCTGTCAGAGGGTGGGGAAGGCCCGGGACAAGGGGAAAGCGGCTTTGAGACCTTTGCCCATCATAGAGGAGCCTTTCCAGAAGGTGACCAAGGACATAGTGGGACCTCTCAGCAAGACGACCCGGTCGGGGAAGAAATACATTCTGGGGGTGGTGGATTTCGCCACCTGCTACCCCGAGGCAGTGCCCTTAGCTTCCATTGAAGCAGACACTGTGGCCGACGTGCTCCTGACCATTTTCAGCCGCATGGGGTTCCCCAAGGAAGTCTTGACAGACCAAGGCTCCAACTTCATGTCGGCCCTGCTCCGGTGCTTGTGGGAGAAATGTGGGGTCCGGCACGACTGGGCCTCAGCTTATCACCCCCAGTCCAATGGGCTGGTGGAGAGGTTTAACGGGACGCTAAAGATGATGCTGAAAACCTTTAGGAACCAGCACCCGCAGGGCTGGGACAAGTACTTACCTCACCTGCTGTTCGCGTACAGGGAGGTGCCCCAGGAGTCTACCGGATTTTCGCCTTTCGAACTGTTATATGGCAGGAGGGTGAGGGGCCCCCTGGACCTGATGAGAGACGAATGGGAGGGGAAGGCCACTCCCGATGGAGAGTCAGCGGTGGAGTATGTCCTGATCTTCCGAGAGAGACTGGCTGAACTCATGGGTCTGGCCAGGGAGAATCTGGCCAGAGCCCAGAGGAAGCAGAAGGTCTGGTATGACCGCACGGCGTGGGCCCGGGAACTACGCCACCGGGGATCAGGTGATGGTTCTCATCCCCGTGAGAAAGAACAAACTACAGGCCGCCTGGGAGGGCCCTTTCAAGATTGTCAAGCAGCTCAATGAGGTAAACTATGTGGTGGAGCTGTCGAACCGGGCGCACCTCCGCCAGGTGTACCATGTGAATATGATGAAGCCATATTATGCCAGGGGGAATGTGGTGTTGGCCGTGTGTGGACATTGGGAGGAGCAGGGAGATGACCCTTTAGTAGATCTATTCCCTGGGACCAGAGCTGGTTCCCCCCTGGAAACAATTCCCCTCTCGGATCAGCTAACCGCTGCCCAGCAAGCTGAGGTCAGGGGGGTGCTGCATCCGTACCGACAGCTGTTTTCCAACCATCCTGGATGCACTAATCTGACTGTCCACCGGGTGCAGACAGGGTCGCACCCGCCGATAAGATGCTCCCCTTTCTGAGTCACAGGGAAAACTGCTCAGGACCTGGAAAGAGAGGTCCGGGACATGCTGGCTTTGGGGGTGATTCAGCCATCTGCCAGCCCTTGGGCCTCACCGGTGGTGCTGGTCCCCAAAAAGGACGGGTCGGTCCGGTTCTGTGTGGACTTTCGGAAGCTCAATGCCATCACTGTACCTGATGCCTACCCCATGCCCAGGTCTGATGAGCTCCTAGACAAGCTGGGAGGAGCTCGGTACCTTACCACCATGGACCTTACAAAGGGCTACTGGCAAGTGCCGCTGGATGCAGATGCCCAGCTGAAATTGGCCTTTATCACCCCTCCGGAGCTCTATGAGTTCCTGACCCTGCCTTTCGGCCTCAAGGGAGCGCCGGCCACCTTCCAGCGCCTAGTGGACCAGCTCCTGAGGGGGATGGAGAGTTTTGCCGTGGCATATATTGATGACATCTGTGTCTTTAGCCAGACCTGGGAGGACCACGTGTCCCAGGTTAGACAAGTGCTGGACCGACTCCAGGGGGCTGGGCTGACTGTAAAAGCGGAGAAGTGCAAGGTGGGGATGGCTGAAGTATCTTACCTGGGCCATCGGGTGGGGAGTGGCCGCCTAAAGCCGGAACCAGCCAAGGTGGAGGTGATCAGAGACTGGCCTGCTCCCCACACCAAAAAGCAGGTCCAAGCCTTTATTGGGATGGCAGGATACTATCGAAGGTTTGTGCCCCACTTTAGCGCCATAGCCAACCCCATCACTGAGCTATGCAAGAAGGGGAAGCCAGACAAGGTGGTCTGGACCGAGCAGTGTCAGGAGGCTTTCCAGGCGCTGAAGGAGGCTCTGGTCAGTGGCCCAGTCCTGGCAAACCCAGACTTTGACAAGCCCTTTGTGGTGTTCACCGATGCCTCAGACATGGGGCTGGGGGCGGTGTTAATGCAGGAGGATGAAAAGGGGGAGAGACACCTGTGAGGATGTGACTCAGCAGGGAGGGGGGAGTGTTGACCTGGGAATGTGCCCTGGGGATGGGAGACCTGAGAGCCTGTCACCTGAGCCAGGAGGGGGAGGGGGAGGTAACACCTCTGCCCAGGAATGTGGATGGAAACTGCATCAGGGAACCTGCTGGGTGGGTTTAGTTTTCAGTTTGGGGCTGGGGAGAGGAAGACAGGGAACCCCAGGGCTGGGGTCTAAGCTCCCTGCTCCCCCAGAAGGACGTGATTGAGGGGTCCTGGGTGTACCCACAAGCTCTGTTGTGGACTGTGTTCCTGTTGTCCAATAAACCTTCTGTTTTACTGGCTGGCTGAGAGTCTCAGTGGATCCCAGGAAGAGGGGTGCAGGGCCTGGACTCCCCCACACTCCGTGACAACACCCCATCGTGTACCTGAGCAAGAAGTTGCTACCCCGGGAGCAACACTACACGGCCATCGAGAAGGAGTGCCTGGCCATGATGTGGGCCCTCAAGAAACTAGAGCCCTATCTCTTCGGGCGACACTTCACCGTCTACACCGACCACTCTCCCCTGACCTGGCTGCACCAGATGAAAGGAGCCAATGCCAAGCTCCTAAGATGGAGCCTGCTCCTGCAGGATTACGACATGGACGTGGTCCACATGAAAGTGAAGGGAAGTGCCAACATGATAGCAGATGCGTTGTCCCAGAGAGGGGGCCCTGAACTTCCCAGGTCACTGGTGTGACGAAGTGGGACTGTTCTTAATGTTTCCTCTGAATAGTGTGGGGGTGCCTCAGTTTCCCCTAGGCAGTTCTTAAGTATCTAGATGGTGGGGTAAGAGTGTATGATCATTGCAGTGTTCTAGAGGGCAGGTGTGTGCAGGGGTCCGGACACAAAGAATGGCCAACACCCTGTTTCCTGGCAACTGATGGCCTGGACCCTTCCCCCCTGAAAGGTGAGAGCTAAAGGGTTGGAGAACAAAGGAATCAGGTGACCTCCTGGCCCGGGAAAGGAACAAAGCCCAGAGGAGGAGGGGCTGGAGGGAGTTTCAGTTTGAGGCTGGCTGGGGACATGGAGTGAAGGGCAGACGGGGTTGTCTGGCTCACTGCCCCCAAATTGGACCCAGCTGAGGTATCCTGTTCTCTGCACCTACAAGCTCTGTTTTAGACCATGTTCCTTTCGTCTAATAAACCTTCTGTTTTACTGGCTGGCTGAGAGTCACGTCTGACTGCGGAGTTGGGGGGCAGGACCCTCTGGCTTCCCCAGGACCCCGCCTGAGCGGACTCGCTGTGGGAAGCGCAGGGAGGGGCAGAGGAGGCTGAATGCTCCGAGGCCAGACCCAGGAAGGTGGAAGCTGGGTGAGCTGTGTGTCCTGAAGACAGGCTGCTCACAGAGAGGAGACTTCCCCAGAGTCCTGCCTGGCTTCATGGGGAGCAGCTCCAGAGCATCGCCGGGGACTCCCTGACAGTATGTTATCATCCCCTTTAGACGCTTTGAAAGGGTGTGTATTAATGTTTCAATTTCAATGTCCAACCAATCACTAAACTGGCAACACTGCATGTAACTAGTTCACAAACTGGGGGGGGGGAGGTGTAATGAAAGTCGAGGGGGTGCAGGGAAATCCCTGCCCTGGGGCCTGGCCCGATTCTCACCGTGTGTCGTCCCCCCCCCCCCCAAGGCCGTGGCAGCGAGCGGGTCCGTGGGGCCGCACCCGCCTTTGGGGACACCCAGCGCCCGCGGAGCCCGGCCCGGGGCTGGCTGACGGACCGCGGGCGCAGGCCGGACGCCGCTGCAGCGGCGGCGGGGCTCGGGCCGCCCGCTCCCCGCCCCGCACGTGGGCCCGGCTCCCCCCGCTGCAGCGTGACGCGCGGCGGGGGCGCTGCGGGCTGCGGAGCGCCATGGCGGTGCAGGCGGGCGGCCGGGGCCGGGGCGCCGCGCTGCTGCTCCTCTTCTGGGTTGCGCGCCGCCCGCCCGCCGGGGCCGCCTGGCTGCTGGGGCTGCGGCCCGAGGACACGGCCCCGGGCCGGGTCTCGCTGGAGGCCGGCGCGCTGGGGGCGGTGGAGGGGGCCAGCTTCCTGCTGCGCGTCTTCTTCCAGCCGCCGCCCGAGGCGAACCGCAGCCGCGCGCCCTCCGGGGCGGAGAGCGCGCCCCGCCTGGCCTTCGTCGAGGAGCCGCCGCCGGCGGGAGCGGGCCAGGCGCCCGGGGAGCGCTGCCCGCGGCAGAGCGCCGGGGCCTCGGACGTGGAGGTGCTGGGCCCGCTGCAGCCGGGCGGCTCGGCCGGCTCCGCCCTGGTGCGGGTGCGGGTGCGGGCGCCGCGCAAGGGGGAGCCCGGGGCCGGCCCGCGGGGGCGGCTCTTCTCGCTCTGCGCCTGGGACGGGCGCGCCTGGCAGCACCACGGCGCGGGGGGCGGCTTCCTGCTGCGGGTGCGGCCGGCGGCGCGGGAGCCCTGGCTGCTCGGGCCGCTGCCGGAGGCGGGCTGGCTGCGGGCCCTGGGGGCGCTGCTGCTGCTGGGGCTGTCGGCGCTGTTCAGCGGCCTGCGCCTGGCGCTGCTGGCGCTGGACCCGCTGGAGCTCCGCGTGCTGCGCAACAGCGGCTCGGCGGCGGAGCAGGAGCAGGCGCGCCGCGTCCAGGCCGTGCGGGGCCACGGCGGCACCTACCTGCTCTGCACCCTGCTTCTAGGCCAGGCCGGGGCCAACGCGGCGCTGGCCGGCTGGCTGTGCGCATCCCTGCCCGGCCAGGGCCCGGCGCTGGCCGGCTGCGTGCAGGGCGTCCCCTGGCTGCCCGTGCTGCTCTGCACCGGGGCCGTGTTCCTGGGCGGCGAGGTGCTGCCCTACTCGGTGTGCTCCCGGCACGGGCTGGCCATCGCCTCGCACACGCTCTGCCTCACCCGCCTGCTGATGGCCGCCGCCTTCCCCCTCTGCTACCCGCTGAGCCGCCTGCTGGACTGGGCGCTGCGCCAGGAGCTCAGCACCTTCTCCACGCGCGAGCGGCTGCTGGAGACGCTGCGCGCCGCCGACCCGCACAGCGACCTGGTGCGGGAGGAGCTGGCCATGGTGCAGGGCGCGCTGGAGCTGCGCACCAAGGTGGTGGAGGACGTGCTCACCCCGCTGGCCGACTGCTTTATGCTGCGCTCCGACGCCGTGCTGGACTTCGCCACCGTCTCCGAGATCCTGCGCTCCGGCTACACCCGCATCCCGGTCTACGCGGGCGACCGGCGGGACAACATCGTGGACCTGCTCTTCGTCAAAGACCTGGCCTTCGTGGACCCGGACGACTGCACCCCGCTGCAGACCGTCACCCGCTTCTACCGCCGGCCGCTGCACTGGGTCTTCAGCGACAGCCGCCTGGACACGCTGCTGGAGGAGTTCAAGAAGGGTGAGGGCGCCGGCACCCCCGGTTCTGTCCTCCGGCCACGCACCCCCAGGCTCCGCTCCCGCCGGCCAGCCCCGCCCGTGCGCTCCGGGTCCATGCACCCTCCTGCGGGGCTGGGTAGCTCCCTGTCCCTGCCTCCACCCGGCCGTACACCCACGGCAGCCACCGCCTTCCCTTTGCATGCCCGTGGCCGGGCTGCCTCTGGCGCACCCCGTGCCAGCTTGCGCCTCCCCGACCGCCTCCTGCTCCCCCAGGCCCGTGCGTGCGGGGCAGCTTCTCCCGGCGGGCTGAGCTCAGGGGGTCCGGGCAAGGAGCGGGGGCCCTGCGGGAATGGGGCTGGGGTGCCCGGATAGGCTGCCCGGGAGCTGGGCGGGAAGGGGGCTCCTGGGCCCTTTGCGCCCTGCTTGGCCCCGGCGTGTGCCCGCTGGCTGCCCGCAGCTCTCGGTGGCGGGGGGTGTCTGGCTCACGGCGGCACGCAGCAGCTCCTGCAGCCTGCGGGGACTCCGCTCGGGCGCCCTATACGGGCCCGGGGCGGGGTCCGGCTGCCCGGGTGCTTTTGACCCCGAACCTCATTGCGAAGCGCTGAGGGGGCGCAGCGCCGGAACGAGCCGCCCCTGCGGCTCAGGCGGGCACAGTTCACACACACGCCCCGGGGAGCGGCGGACTCGGGCGGCTGGTGCTTTCCGCACGGAGCTGCTCAGCATTGGCCCCTCTGCGCGCAGGCTGGGCGGGGTGAGGCAGGCAGCAAGCGGGCGTGGAGCTGGGCTGAGCGAGCGGCAGCGGCTGAGATCTGCCAGCCGCCCTGGCAATTAACCGGCATCGGTTCTTTCCCCCGAGCTGAGTGACAGCGGCAGGGAGTGCGCGGAGAGGGGGCCAGGGCTCAATCCTGGCCGTGCCACTCATTTGGGACGGTCGCTGCTGGTCTGTGGAATGGGGACAGACACTTAGCCCCAGGGCCGGGTGCGGGAGGGTTAGTTAACATGCACGGGGGGTGTTCAAAGGCTGGTGCTTTGAATCAATTTAACAGAGTGGCTGGAGGTGAGGTGCCTGAGGCTCCAACCTTGTTTGGGGGTTTTAAAGTTACTTTTGTCCCTTCTTGCTGGTGAAAACTGACTAAAACTGCTGTCAAATGAACAACATAAGCAAAGGAGGGCTGTCCAGTGATTACAAAAATAATCACAACTAATCGTGTGAATAAAAAAAATCGCAATTAATCATGCGATTATCATGCTTTTAAAGAATAATAGAATACGATTTAATACCTTTTGAGTTTTCTACTTTTTCAAATATGTTGATTTCAATGACAACGCAGAATATAAAGCGTACAGTGCTCACTTGATATTTTTTATTACAAATATTTGTACTGTGAAAAAAATAGTATTTTTCAATTCACCTCATACAAGCACTGTAGGGCAATCTCTGTATCATGAAAGTTGAACTTACAAAGGTAGAATTCTGCATTCAAAAATAGAACAATGTAAAACTTTAGAACCTACAGGTCCACTCAGTCCTACTTGAGCCAATCGCTCAGACAAATAAGTTTGGTTACAATTTGCAGGAGATAGTGGGGCCCACTTCTTGTTTGCAATGTCACCTGAAAGTGAGAACAGGAGTTCGCATGGCATTTTTGTAGCCGGTGTTACAAGGTATTCACACGTGCCAGATGTGCTAAACATTCTTATGCCCCTTCATTCTTCAACCACCATTCCAGAGGACATGCTTCCATGCTGATGACAGGTTCTGCTCGATAACGATCCAAAGCAGTGTGGACCGATGCATGTTCGTTTTCATCATCTGAGTCAGATGCCACCAGCAGAAGGTTGATTTTTTTTTCTGGTGGTTCGGGTTCTGTAGTTTCCGCATCTGAGTGTGGCTCTTTTCAGACTTTTGAAAACACCTCGGCCCTCTCAGATTTTGGACAGCACTTCAGATTCTTAAACCTTGGGTCCAGTGCTGTAGCTATTTTTAGAAATCTGACATTGGTACCTTCTTTGCCTTTTGTGAAATCTGCAGGGAAAGTGTTCGTGAAATGCACAATATGTGCTGGGTCATCATCCGAGACTGCCGTAACATGAAATATATGGCAGAAGGCGGGCAAAACAGATCAAAAAGGAGTTCAGTCACAAATTTAATTAACACATTATTTTTTTAATGCGCATCATCAGCATGGATGCATGTCCTCTGGAATGGTGGCTGAAGCATGAAGGGGCATACAAATGTTTCGCATATCTGGCACGTGAATACCTTATAACACCGGCTACAAAAGTGCCATGTGAACACCTGTTCTCACTTTCAGGTGATGTAAATAAGAAGCGGGCAGCATTATCTCCTGGAAATGTAAACAAACTTGTCTGAGCAATTGGCTGAACAAGAAGTAGGACTGAGTGGACTTGTAGGCGCTAAAGTTTTACATTGTTTTGTTTTTGAGTGCAGTTATGTAACAAAAAAAATCTACATTTGTAAGTTACACTTTCACGGTAAAGAGATTTCACTACAGTACTTGTATGAGGTAAATTGAAAAATACATTTTTTTATATTTACAGTGAAAATATTTGTAATAAAAAATAATATAAAGTGAGCACTGTACACTTTGTATTCTGTGTTGTAATAGAAATCAGTATATTTGAAAATGTAGAAAAACATCCACAAATGTTTAATAATTTCAATTGGTATTTTATTGTTTAACAGTGTGATTAATTGTGATTAATTTTTTTATTCGCGATTAATTTTTTTGAGTTAATCGCATGAGTTAACTGCGATTAATCGACAGCCCTAAAACAAAACGAAACAGTAGAAACATCAGTCTGTTCTTTTTCAGTTGCAATAAGCTTGAGTTTTACTGGTTTTTCAAGTAGGCACATAACTTTAAGGATAGGTTGTTGGGTTTTGATTTTTTTTTTTTTGAGTCAAAGTTGTGTTGTAAGCACCTGATAGAGTAATGTTTGCAATGCCATCCAGTGGGGTGTTTCAGCAAAGCGAGTAAATTAGCCTATACCACCTGTCCCAACCCATCCCACCTCCTTCCTGCACACCAGATCTAGATGAAAATGTAACAGATGTTAGGGGTCAGTCCTAGGTCTGGTACTATTCAGTATTTTCATTAATGACTGATAAGGAAGTGGAGAGTTTGCTTATAAAATTTTGAGGATAGCACTAGACTGGGAAGGGTCTGTGACGAAGTGGGACTGTTCTTAGTGTTTTCTCCTTCTCCTCCAGTTCATGCTGACACTGCTTTTCCCACTCCTGATGCTGCTTTTCCCACTCTTCCTGCTCCTCCTGCAGTTCCCGCTGCCTGAGCTCCAACTCTCTCAGTTTTAGCTCCTTCTCCCATTGCAGCTGTCTCAGATCCAGCGATGGGGAGCTCTGCCAGGAGGATCCCCTGCTGGCCACAGGGGACATAGTGCCCTCAGTATTCGCTGGGCTCCTCCCGGCCCTTCCCCTAGGCATAGGTAGGAAAGGTCTCGGGAAGCCCTCAGCAGCCGCCTGATCGCTCCCCGCTGGGACAGACACCGGTGCCCGCGCTGCATCTACCAGGCTGCTTCCCTCAGAGACAGGGATCAGTTCGTTCCAGCGATCTCCCTCGTCCAGCTGGGCAATCAGCTGTTCTTTGGTGAGCCTCCCAATGCGCAGCCCCCTCTGCTTGCACAGCTCCGCCAGGTCGCTCTTAAGGTGCTTGCTATACATCTCCTTGCTGGCCACTCATAGGCCTGTGTGCTTGCCGCTCCCCACAGTTTCCAGGGAGAATCCCTCATGTGCCAGCCCTTCTCGAGGTCACCATCTCTTTGCCAGGGTTGAGCTGCAGACTCCTCCGCCCCTGGGACTGCTCACTGCAATCCCCCAGGGGACTCTGTTACTGCAAAAGTCCTTCTCTCGTCACACACTCCCAGGGGTTAACCGACCCCCCGAAACCGCTCCTCTCTGAGCCTTCAGCACGCCTGGTCCTCATCCATCCCCCTTTGTTTTACTGCTCCCCAGTCACTTACTGCAGGAAGCACCATCCATGGGGTGCAGTAGATCCCACCACTGCCACCAGTTGTAACAAAGTGTGGGGGAGTCCGGGCCCTGCACCCCCCTTCCTGAGATTCACCGTGACTCTCCGCCAGCCAGTAAAACGGAAGGTTTATTGGACAATAGCAACACAGTCTAAAATCGAGCATATGGGTACAACCAGGACCCCTCAGTCAAGTCCTTCTGGGGGGCAGGAAGCTTAGACCCCAGCCTTGGGATTCCCTGCGGTCGACCACCCAGCCCGAAACTGAAAAACTCTCCAGCCCCTCCTCCTCTGGGCTTTGTCCCTTTCCCAGGCCAGGAGGTCACCTGATTCCTTTGTTCTCCAACCCTTTAGCTCTCACCTTGCAGGGGGGGAAGGGCCAGGCCATCAGTTGCCAGGAAACAGGGTGTCGGCCATCCTCTGTGTCCAGAGCCCTGCACACACCTGCCCTCTAGGGCTCTGCAATGACCTTATCCCACCACCTAGAGACTTAAGAACTGTATAGGGGAAACTGAGGCACCCCCACAATATTCAGAGAAAACATTAAGAACAGTCCCACTTCGTCACAGGGTCACAGACACTTTGCAGGACAGGGTTATAATTCAAAGCTACCTTGACATATAGGAGAATTGATGTGAAATCAATAAGATGAAATTCAATAAAGACTAGAACAAAGTACTTAACTTTGGAAGGAAAAATCAAATGCACAACTACAAAATTGGAAATAACTGGCTAGATGGTACTACAGATGAAATCTGGGTGTTATAGTGGATCACAAATTGAATACAAGCCAACAATGTGATGCAATTGCAAAAAAAAACAACCCCCAACATATCATTCAGGGGTGTCTTTACAGAAGTGTTGTGTGTAAGATACAGGTCATTGTTCTACTCTGGTTGGCACTGAAGCGGCCTCAACTGGAGTACCATGTCCAATTCTGGGGTACCACACTTGAGGAAAAATGTGGATAAATTGGAGGGAGTCCAGAAAAGAGTAATAAAATTGATAGAAA